CAGCTGTATTTTGTAGGATGCCTGAACAAATGCCATTCAGTTAGTTTGCATATTTTATTATTTGTTCTCAGTTGAACATCGGACTTTACAAAAAACACATAGATGCTTAAAGAACGTCCTTACTGACTTTATTCTTTGTGTGCAACTCATGTTATCAGTGAGAGCAGAGGCTGTTTTGACTGCTGTGTTTTGTCACACTGTCATTGGCATCCTATAACTGTTATGTGACGGCTGTGTGCAGGCAGGAAAAGGACCCAAAATGCAGACTCCGAAGACAAAACTTGAACTCAAAACAGCTTTAATGCTGAACTCAAAAAGGGTAACAAAACTAAGACTACAAAATAACCTTACACAGAACACACAGCAAGATAAGGGTAGATCACGACAATGACAAACTGAAACACAGGGCTTAAATACATAGAGGGAGCAATCAGTGAATGGACAACAGGAGGGAAACACAGCTGGGCAAATCAGAACTGACGAGACAAGGAAGCGTAAACTGAACTGAGATAAGACAGAGACCTTCAAAGTAAAACAGGAAACACATAACACAGACTGAACAAAGACAGACTCACATGCAGGCACTACAACAGAGGGAACAGAGACGTGGGACCAGGGCAGACACAGACACTGACTGGACACGGGGATATAGCGGACAGGGAAGACAGCAACTAAGGATTACACAGAGACAAACCATAAGACATAACTCTAACAAAAACCCAAAGACTAGAAATTATAAATAATATAATAAACTCAAAAACCCTGGGTCAACGACCCAGGCATCCTAACAATAACTGACATATGGCTGGAGAACAGCAATGCACTGATCTATGGTGTCTGACATTACTGTACTGAGGAATATAAACAGGAGTGTTGTCAAAGATTAAGTGAATTTGTTTATTAAATGCATTTTTAAAAAAAGCTGTTGTTCAGCAGCCACGTCTTGCTTTATCTCTAAGTGCAGTTTCGAAGAGCAACTTCTTACGCATTTGTTATACAATCCAGTTTTTTAAAAATGTAAACACTACTTATAGACTTTGTCTCTGGGGTTTGAAGGATCATATAACTGTAAGCATGAAGGAAGGAAAAAAAGAATATCTTGGAAGTTTACAGATTCAACTCTCATGTCTACTGAACTTGCCAAAATGCGATTACCCTTTGAGAAAAGGTTGGCCCACAGTGTACACATACATATTTCATTTTCTCATCAGTTTGTATTGATCGACTGATCCATTGCCAGGTTTCTGCCAGTCAGCGAGGAGGCTGCTGTTGGAACCCCAGTGGGAGTCATCTTAGCATCTGCTGTCAATCAAACTATCGTGTACTCCATCATCGAAGGCAACGAGGGTGGTGAGTAAACTTAGAGCTGGTTATACAGAGTTTTCCTGTGTTCGGTTGTGGAGCTCAAAATCTATCACTGTATGCTCAGGAGACATTATATGACTTCCACTTCATCCTATAAAACGCTACTCACTAGCTGTCGGCATCCCACTCACTAACTGAACATTATGCAACTATATGCCACCCTTCTATCTTTCTTAATTGTTCTGTCTTGTTCTACCCAGGTGTGTTTGCTTTAAATGAAACAACAGGAGTCATTTACACTGCCAAACCCCTGGACTATGAGACCAATGCCAGCTATGTTTTGAAGGTAGAGGCGGACTCCATGAGAGTGGTGTCTTCAAACCTGCGAGCTCCCTCAAAAAGTAAGTGCCTGATCACAGGACACCTCATGACCTTTTTTAATATACTGGTGCACTATATGGAAAAAAGCACCGGGCCACCTACATGAGCAGGTCGGCTATGAAATGCCATCCAATGAAGCTCCTGGTGCACAGTTTTCTGCTGATGTTAACGCTAGAGGAGTTTTGGACATCTGCTGGTTCACAGTGAGCAGAGCACTGGTAACTTCTGCACAGCTCAGCAAACGTCATGAATGAGTTGTTGTGGTTCCTAAATGCTTCCACCTTACAATAACATCACTCACAGATTACCGTGGAATGTCTAGGAGGGAAGATTTAGTATTCTCAAACTGACATCTGACATCACACATACTTTGTCCTGAGCTCTGACAGGTTAAACATTATTTTCTGACCGATTCAACATTTACATTATCATATGCATCTTCATGAGGGAAATGTCACAACACGTTCAGAGCTGCAGTGCATGTGTTAAAACTTTCACCTTGCACACGCTCTACAAAGCTCTACTTTTTATTATACTCTACCTTGGCGGTTAGTGTTGCCTTTAAAGCAACTTTTTCTTCTCGCTTAGATTTCTATCAAAGCTGCAGGTTTTGCCAGTTTGTTGCCCTCACTGTTGATGTAGATTTTTAAAAAAAAGCTAGATGTGTGTCTCATTGCCTCTCACTCGAGGTCTCAGCACATGTGCAATTATATAACTGCCCAGAATTTATTTCTCAAATGTCAAAGAGTGTTTGCTATGATCAAAGTGGGAAAATAAGCTGGCAAGCGGGCTGGAAGATTGAAGATCATATCTGTAAAGCTGTAACTTTTTCCAGTCTGTCCCAAGCATTGGTACTCAGTGATCTGTGCAGGTCAGTTCAGTGGTAAACCAGCTGTAATCTAAGTTTTCAAGTCTTTCTTTTTACTTATTTTGTTGCCAAAATTGCATGTGAGATCAAGTGTTGACTAAAACTGAAATTGTGGCTTTCCTTCCCCTCTTTAATTGTTTCTGCCTCTTGTTTCTGCAATTTCCATCTGCCTGCTGGTGTTTTTGCTTTGAAAACATATCTGCATTCTTCTTAATTGATGTTCAGCTACCAAGGTCTCTCTTCCTTAATTATAGTGTTTACCACATGCTGTTCTTGTTTCATTTAAACGATTTGAATTGAAGAATTCTGCTGGGATTAAAGCTACAAGTCATTGTAGTCATTAGCAGAACTCCTTCAGTTCTTCTTGGTGCGCATTTTAATCAGGAAACAAATCAATAGGAGATTTCAACAATATGTTAATCCTGCTTTTTAATTCAAGTGAAGATATGGCTTGAAACTATATGTTTTGCGCTTGTGTTTTAAGGATGCCTGTTAAAGATAAGCTGAATATTGTTTGCTTTATCCTGTCAGCAGTGCAAGTTTATTAAGGGAAATTTTTTTTTCTTCTTTCGTCTGTATTGAAGTAAACAAGAGTTCACAATCCTGGGTTTGTGCTGTCTTTCTGACATGATTCACCTTTTAACCGTCGGGTTGATTTATTATGATGCAGTTTTCCGTGGGTGTGATTCTGAATTTCTTGTTCATGGCCAGATAAAGACTGAATGTGAGTCATTCTGAGGTACAATTAACAAATACAAAACACAGTAGCTTATACTGAATATTTAAAGGATATGTAAGACATTTAAAGCAGCTTTTTCTGTGTGTGTGTGTTTTCAGTACTAAAACATGAATTATTGATGCAAAATCTGGTTTGTAATCTTGGCAAAGACATTGCTTGTGAAGACAGTTGCCTTGGAAAGGCCAAGACGTCTCTGATGCTGTCAGTTATCATTAAGGGTTGAGATTTCTTGACACATGTCTCAAAAATCAGATCAGATCCTTCAGGTCAATGTTATTGCTCCATTACTTGCATACTCCACATTGAGAAGTGTCTTAAATATCTCACTACATACTTTCAGATGATGAACTTGAAGTCCTTTAGTCATTGTTCACTTAACTAACCCATGTTTTGAAATCCTTTGAATGCCCTGAAAATGCAGTTTGTTTTCCAGCTTCTCAATGCAATACATAGAACATTCATTGAACAGTCTCGGTACCACAGCACATACCACAGCACGCCAATGACTTTTTAGGGACATTTGAATCAAAATGGAAGCATAGATGTTTGGGATGGTTTGCAATACCAAAGTTTTTTAATGAAATCTGATGAGAGCCCACCATCAGAGTACTGATGAAAGAGATGAGGAGATTCTTTTAATCAGATTTTTCATTCGAAGCTTCTAATTGTAGCCGAATTAATCATAGCTGTTGATGAAGGGAAATGCTTGTGATTAGTTACTTTAACTCGGAGGTTTTCTTTTGTTTTTGGTGTTTTTTGGGGGGGTTGGTTGGTTGGGAGAGGGTTTTTTTCACCTTTGCTAATGGTGGCAATAAGTTGTAACTCTAGCTGTAAATTTTAAACTCTTATTCATTGTCAGACAAGTTTTGGATACACCAACTTGCCTATACTGTACATATGCACTTCCTAGGAGTACGCAATGTGCTTTTAACATAAATCTAAATCAAGTGGCATTCTTTTAGAAGCTATGGCCAATGAGCGGATATGATAATATGAACGTAAACCACAAAAATCAAACTTTCAAATCATTTTGAAACACCTAATAACACTGAAACAATACATTTGTAAGCAATAAATTGGACAAAAAATGCCAAATGTAGTAAAAATGATACAAATTAAAACAGATATATGCAAATTGAAATAGTCTGAAGTTTCAATAAATACTTAAAAAATTAAAATTTTCTGGCAGTTATTTTATGATTCAAGTTTTACAGGGCTAAAAAGAAAGTGATCAAATCTAAAATAGATGTCTTGAACTCATAACATGGATCAGAGTAAATCTGATTAATGTTCCACAACCTGAAACACATCTGTTATGCGACACAGGCATAGACTCTATATAAAATATGATGTACTCACTGGGACGTCTCCTTTTGGTTTGTGAAGCTCCATTTTGAACCTTGACCATAGTATTTTAGGCCATTGCTATTATTTTAGCTATCAGCTAACTCTAGCTAGCTCGATTAACAATCTGCTGACGTGAACCTGAAGGATGAAATTACTGGTGCTACAGCACTGCAGCCAGTCAATGCTGCTTGTGCTTGTCCTTGTATGTGTTTCACAAAAGCACTCCTTTATGGAAAAGTGTATTACAATGTGTATTTTGTGTTTCTGTTTTCTAGCTAACACAGCTAAAGTGGTGATTGATGTCCAGGATGAAAATGACCATGCGCCAGAATTCATTAGACCTCTCTACATTGGAGGAGTTGCAGAAGACTCCAAAACCTTCACCTCAGTCTTGCAAGTACAGGTACAACTACACAAAGATCTGCCTATTAACACAAATAGCATAAAACACACAGTTCAAATTGCTAATTACAGTAGAGGCTTAAAACAAGACCCCGATTTATGTACTTTGTAGGCTTGTAGTATGGATTTTACTATATTGTAAGGTACTGCTTACACAGTGCTTGTTTGGAAATAGATTTTTTTTTTCTTGTTTTAAAATTATTCAAGTATTACAAAAATCATGATTGATAGGTATGTTTTTTCTTTCTCTGTTGATTGAGAAATCTCTCTGTTTCCCTTTGGTATACCTGACTGCTACAAAGATTCATGTAACTGTAAACAACTTGAGCGTATTATTAAAATGCCTTTCAGGAGCCTAAATGGGTCACGGAGCCTATCTCTTTCAGCCTCTATCTTAGAAATTGCAATATGTTTTAATGAGCCTGGATGCCACAAGAGACCCAGTCAGAGTCCCTGGCAGAAAAGTATGCGCTTTAATATTTCATTACCGTTTTTAAGATCATTCTTAGATATTCCTCCTTCATTAGATCATTCCAGCGAGAGTGACAGGAACGATGAGAGCATCAGGAGAGCATGTTTCACAAGTTCAGACGATGTGCTTTTCTCACTCATGAACCGAGTGTCTCAATTTGCTATTCCTCTGCTTCAAACACCTGAGGTTTGGGGCTTACATATGGGTTTTGTATGGGTTAGAACTATGTTTGGTTGAAGCTGGATTACAGGAACTAGCTTTTTAAACAATTTAAATAAACTGAGAGAGAAAAACTGGTTGCAGGCTCAATTGCCACAGAGTGACGCAATATATCTAAAGGTTAAAGGAGGAGAAAGGATTGATGGTTAGATAAGGAGAGCTGACACCCTGCTGAGAGACAAACTGATTGGACTGAAAAAAAGCAGGGAAGACATACATGATCTATGGTGGATGAATAGATAACAGCAGGGAGTGACTAGAAAGATGGACAGGGATGCTAGCTGTACACATGGTACCATCAAAATGAAAAAGGGAGTGAGACAAAAGCTTCAGAGTAACTTTGAGAAATGTGCTTTTCCAATCTTAATTATGAATAATCCTATCTCATCTGTCTGAAGCATGCAAATCGTCTTCTTCAGACAAAATGTTTTTTTTGTCTGTGTGTTGCTACATGCAGGACGTTTCTGCCTTTAGGGTTTACAGTTTGCACATGGAGGAGTTGATGTGTTATTTTGTCCCTCGGAGGATGCCATAATTCAAATATTGATTAGACTACATCAACAATCAAGCTCAGTCATCTCCATTATTTCTTTTCTAAATTCATTAATTTCACTTTTTGCCTGTTAAAAATGTTTTCCAGATGCACTTCTGCCTCCGTAGTGGCAGAAGTGTGGTGGTTTACATATTTGCTTGGCAAAATAAAATCACTGGTTCACTTCCAGCTGGGGACATAAATCCCCTTTGGGGTTGTGTAAAACTGCTAAATCATACATGCAGAACTATGTGATGTGGTAAACCCAGCTGAATGTAGCTATTTCTACTTTTCCAGCTGTGTAAACCTTTGACATTTAAGCTTCTTTCTCTCTTTTAACTAGTGTGTTGACCAGAAATTGCCTTAAAGCAAAGCCCTGCTTGGTGAGGTTGTGTTGTTATGGGTACTGATAAAATGAAAATATACTAGACAGAAAGTCCAGCTTTAATAATCCATCAGAGTTTCCAGTGCTGGGACTTTTTTTTTCCGCCATCAAGGCAATTACAAGGTAAACAGCAGAGCTACAATCCAATCTTTTTTTTCTTTCTTTTTTTAATGGGAACAGCATCTGTTTGATCAGGATGCCTCGCTAGATGATGCATCGTTGCTTCTGGGTTGAGTACTACCTTGCTCACCAAATGCTGGCGTCATCTGTGCAAAATGCTTCTGAATAATTCTTAGGTGTGCAGGGCATGAGTATATTAAAATGTTTGCAGCTATTGCTCAATTATTCATTTGTGCCCACATATTTCATATATTTCATGTTTACAGGAAGTTGGGTAAGTGTACAGGTGCAAAGGCAAATAAACTGCGACTTTAGAACGACACAGACCTGCTTGGATTTGGACATATCTCTTCATAGGTGCAGCAGAGAGACCTGCACCCTGTACAGTTTAAAGCAGCTCTTATCACTAGTGCACATTTTAATGTATTGCTGAAAAGTTACCCTCATCTCTGCAAGGAAGAACCCAGAAAATGAAAAAGATGTATACATTTGTTCTTCCTTCAGTACGCCCCCCTTCCCGATCTCATCTTTCTCCATATTACCTTTGTTTCTTTTTTGTTGCTTCTTTATTCCCTAGCTATGAAAAAAAACATTTTACTTTGTTTTTATCTACCATATCTTACCTTTGATGTGGCGGGTGTCTATATCTACATTTCTAGCCCTTCTTATAATAACCCTGCATAAAATCAATGTCTGTCTGAGAGTGTGTCTGGATTTTAATGTGAGATTTGCATGTATATTGAACAAGGGAGAGACATGATAGTTAGCCAGAATCATAGATTAAATGATCTGCTCAGATTTCAAAGGATTCTTTTTACCCTTCCTCTGATTCAGAATTATATCACATTAAAAAAAATGAAAGAACTGAAAGCCTTTGAACAGGTTTTAAAATCCAGAAAAGCAGAAATAATATGTGACCTCATGATGAGTAAAAGCTGAGACACACTATCAGTCCTGCGCTACTCAGTGTACATGACAGTGTCTTGTATAGTGTCAAACTCCTGGACTGAAAGGATGATGGTAAGGAGGCAAAGAGCAGACCAACAGCATTATAATAATTACAGCATATGGAATTTGTTTTACAAAAAACCCCAAAAAGACAACAGTGGCTTGATCATAGTGTTTGTGTGCATGATGATGATGACATTTCATAATGACAGTGATTATGGTAATGCTTGGCGGTGTAATTATGATCACAGTAATACCACCTAATGGTCCTTATTTTTCTTATTTTCCAGGCCCTGGACAAAGACACTGGTAACTACAGTTCTATAATATACCGTCTGATCGTCCCCCCTCCAGCTAGTAAAGACACTAAAGACACCAAAGATGGCTTTATCATTGAACCGTACAGCGGCGTTGTGAAGACTGCTATCATGTACCGCAATATGAGGAGGTCGTATTTTAAGTTTGAGGTGGTTGCTACAGACAACTATGGTCAAGGACACAGCAGCAAAGCAGACATAGTGGTATGTATAATTTATGTTTTTTTCACAATGATTACATTTTAATGGCAGGTTTACGATTACTTTTTTTTAAGGCGTCCAACCTAAAATGAACTGGGTGACATGATTAGTGCAATGAGATTTTTATTGCTCTTAGGATAGTGTGAAGGAAGCTGCACTGAAAGGATAGTTTTGCAAGCTGCTAATGACTTCTTACTGGAACAAGTAAACACAGCAAAACGATGCCTGCAGGGAGAAATCGTCTTTGGTTAACTAAAGCTAATGAGAGAGTAGTTTGAACTCATTTTCTAAAAAATATGACAAGAGTGAGAGTGCCCATTTCATAAGAAACCCTTATGAAATGTAGTACAAAAACATCACATATTAGTAAAAAATGTTGCTCATCTGAGTTCCTACTTGTTCGCACAAAGGTCCCACATAAGGCAAAAAAAATAACACATTCCACTTTAATCTCTGCATCTTGTGTCTACTAGTCTGACACCTGCCTTTAACCTAAAAAATTATAGTCTAAGATGCTCAGTTAACCACGTCACTTCTAAAGAAGGCTTGATTTGTGAATAATTAATACATGTGACTAATTTACTTCCAATATAGTCAAGTTAATTGCTTGCAGGTTCTGTAGTACCCTAGACAAAATAATGGCAAAGTACACTATGCAAATATGAACGTAGTCCAACCACCAACAAGCTATAAAAAAATATGTAATCAAACTGCTAAATTACATGTGCTCCACTGCTCCCTTACACTGCCACATACATCCTTTAGCAGGTAAGTGTAAAAACAAATTCAATTTGTGGCAAACCTGAAGCACATTTTGTGTGCTGTAGAAGGGAAATGTTATTCATTTGACTGCATTTACAAACATGTGGAAGTTCTGTCTGTTAAGATGCACCGAAATCAGAGCGCAGGATGTTATTTTTGGTTTATTTTAAGTGCTTCAGCAGGTTTTTATCTCAGTTTTCCTCTCCTGTTGTGTAGGTGTCAGTCGTGAACCAGCTGGACATGCAGGTCGTTGTATCAAATGTCCCTCCTACGTACGTGGAGAAAAACAAAGAGAAGCTTCTGAGGTAACGTTTGATGCTTTTGACAATAGAGCAAAAAGCTTGGGTTTAACCATTTGTACATCCAACTTGATGAATGCAGTTTATCTAAGAAAGAAAAAAAATCTGTAGGAAGAGTTTTGGTGTTTGCAGAGGCAAACTTCTAATCCTCTCTGAAGCAGTGGATTTTAATAAACGGTCCTGCACTTAAATATATGAAGGTCAGGTGTTTTCTTTCCTGCTGAAATGTGTGGCATCAACACACCAAGATTGAAAGAGCTCTATTTGAAATAAATAATTTCACTCTAAGAGAAATCATCCCTTATTTTAACCGACTGCCAGCAGGAGCCTCCTGGTAACTATTCCAGCTGTCAAAGGGCATGGCTGCACACCAGAAAGAGATCAATTTGACCTGTGTGTCAGGTGTGCCAGAAAAAGTCTTTGCTGTCCAAAAACCTTATTAAAGCAAAAGTACAGTTTTGCAAAGAACTTTTAGTCCTTTAGAAGAATCTTCTCTGGACGAAAAAAACATTAAACATAGCAGTGTTTGGCCAAAGAAGCAGTAAATTGTTCTAGCACATACCAAAGAAAGCTTTTTACAAAAGGAACTTCATATGTAAAGTATAGTAGTGGTGGAAGCCTTATAGCTTGTGTCCAAGTATAATAATGGGATGGCTTCGTCAAAGTCTACGTATGAATCCCAGAGGGATTGAGAGGGATGGGAATGGACTTCAGACAGGCAGTATATACAGGAACATCAAGTGTGCAAAAGGTTGTTTTTTATTTGCTAAAGAGAGAAATACTAGCTTGGTATGTTAACATACCTTTAGCCCTTTACAAATATAGCTTGGTAATGGTATCTTGAGCGTCAAAACAGTAAGGGCTAATAGTTCTCTGAAGGTTCTCGGTCATCCAGGTCATCGTAGTCTAAGGACCCGGGAAAGAAAAGCATCTGGACTTTCCTTGAAGACGCTTCACCTCTCATCGAGAAGCTTCTTCAGTTCTAAGAGAAAGCATCTGGGCTCGTGCAATTAGGTAGAGGATCAATAGGGCTTCCATGACTCTCTTGGGGACACTCCCAAAGGGCTTACAACCTGGGACTCTCCACCAGTTGCTCGTAGAACTGAAGAAGCGTCTCGGATGAGAGGTGAAGCGTCTTCAAGGAAACTGAAGTCCAGATGCTTCTCTTTCCAAGCTCCTTAGACAATAAAGGAGCTTGGAAAGAAAAGGGATATACTTTTTGACACCTTTTTCACTTGGTGCTTGGATAATGTGTTTTACTAGATTTGATAAGACAGATCAAAACTAGACTGCTGGTTACCTTAAAATACTTACCTGCAGTGTCATCAAGTAGCAAGGTAACAAAAGTGAAAGACAAATCAAGCTCTGTGCAAGCAACAAGAAGAGAACTCTTGTAAAAGTTTTCAGACTAAGTGTACTTTTCAGCATTGAAATTAAGTTTTAGTCACAAATTGATTTATTTCGAGTTTGCACAGTTTGAAGTCCTTGTATTGATTTAGCGATGGTGTCTCCCCACAGGAGGGACTTAAACTCTAATTGTCGCATGGGGTTTTCAACAGCAGTAGTTAAAGAGCAAAAACACTCTTGTCTTTAAATTTTAGATGTGCTCTTATAATGATTTCCGAAAATGTCCTTGTAAGAATAAGATCTCAAGTGTTTCATTAAATTAGAACACAATCTCTATAACAGTCACATGCAAACCACCACAGTTACAGAGTGCACAATGGCAATTGTTCGTTTTTAATTGACGTTAAGAGCTACTAGTTTTAATACAGTGCTGTGCAAAAGTCTTGAGCTCCCTTTCATTTCTTTGCAATACTAACAAGCTCGAAAGTGAATATTACCACTTTTATTCTTCAAAACAGCCTCAACTCTCTCTGAATTTTTTTTTAGTTTTTGTAAAATCTTTGCATAGTCTTCAGGAATAGTTCTCCAGGCTTCTTGAACAACATTCAGAGCTCTTCTTTGGATGTTGGCTGGTTTTTGTTGTGTTCTCTGCCAAGATGAAACTACACTGCATGAGGTTCAGGCTCATGGGAGGCCAATCCATGACTAATAATGTTCCACTGTGTGTTTTTCTATCCAGGTATGCTTTTGCTACACCGGCAGTCTGCTTAGCATCAGTGGCATGCTGAAAAACAAAACCAATCCCACTCTGATACTTTTCAGATAGCACTGCATGGTGGATCATAATCCCCAGTACATTTCTACATTCATAATCTCATCAGTTCTACCGCGTTTTACAAACTGTAGACAAATTGAGACACTCACCTCTCTCCTGACCTCCATAAATACTGATTGCAATTTCAGTTAAAAGTTCATCAGACCTGTGTCCACTGCTTTTCACTCCACTTCTTTTGTAATTTGTGTAATTTCTCCACTGAAACCATTTCTGATGAGGCTGACACAGGACAGCACACCTGTCCTGTGTCATGTGTGCTGAGTCTTTCCTGTTTTATTGACTGCCACATACAGTTCACTTGCTGTAGATAATTTTTTAGGCATGCCAGTTTTTCTTTTGTCATCCACTTGTCCAGGTTTCTTTCCTTTTTTTCTGTCCTTGAATGATTCATAGGTCAGTTATTGCCTAACAAACAAACAAACGTAAAAGAACAATTTCTCTGAAAGTGGTCAGCCAGAAGAAGTGGGATGAAAACAACAGCCAGTATCCAAAGAAAAACTCTGAAAGCCTGGAGAACTATTGCTCAAGACCATTTTAAAAATTGAAAGAAAATCTGGTTACTTGGAAGCAAAATAGAAAGAAATGAGCGGTAACTAAAAACTTTTTCACAGTACTGAACAGCTTTTGTATTGTTTTCTCTTTTGTTGAGAGCAATTTTAAAGGGTATTTGAAAGCCTCTAACAGCAAACATTAGCTATTTTGTTACCTATGCTATCCGTCATCCCCTTTTTCTGCCTCCTACTCTCTCTACATTCTGTAAAATATCACTTGCTATATTCAAAGTACCTGACCTTATCCCCACATCAGTGGCAGCTGGAAAGTAAAACACTAAATGCATTTTCTTTTGTGTGACGACAGTCAAGCAAAACACAAAATGCGTAAATCACTGCATGATATGATATTTTATATACACAGTCAACAGTGGGCCTTTCTGTGACACGTAGCAAATACTCTGCACAGCTGGTGCTGGACTGATGCTTTGTTTTGCCTCGCAAATACAGTATAATTTGTTAATGATGTTTTAAAGCACTTGTCATCTTTTCTGTCTGATTCACATGCACATGCACATGCAGACACACATGAGTTAGAGTTCCTGCTGTGAGCAGGTGTTTCTGGGGGGACAGAAATCAATACTGCTCAGCAGGAGTCTGCCTGGCTGACAGGATTTTTTAAAAATGTGCATGTGGTGGTGTGTGTGTATGTATGTGTGATGTGGTGTGTTTGGAGTCTGACGGCTTTGTCTGTCCATATATATGAGAACTTGTTTGGATCTAAGAAACAGTATTTTTCTCTACATTGATGTGTGTATGTGGATGTCATGCTGGGAATACTGAAGGGGTTATAATGCTTTGATGCTGTATATCAAAATCCAATCTTTTCAATCCTCAGCATTTTGGAACGCTATGTCCAGGAACAGATACCAGGAGCAAAGGTTGTCGTGGAAACCATCGGGCCTCACCGCCATGGGGATGGGATGGAGCAGGAAGACTACACCAAGTCAGACCTTATGATTTATGCCATCGACCCACTGACGAATAGAGCTGTATCAAGGCAGGAGCTCTACAAGTAAGAACTTTACCAACAAGCTAGCTTTATATGTAGAAAAGAACAGAAACTAATCTACGTGGCTTTGCAATTAAAACTGGGTTAGGCTACATCCTATAGTTGTGTTGTACATGTACAATAACAATAAAGGGCTATTCTATGCAGTCATGGTAAAAAGTAAGTTTTTACATATCAGGACATAATAATTTATTTTCTTGTCCTTAGCAGCTCTTAAAATTCACAGGTGAACCACAAACATGACATATTACACCATGCTATCATTTATTGAACAAAAACTGAGCCAACATCCAGAGACAGTGTGTGAAAAACTAAGAACAACCCAATAGTTGAGTAGCTAGAACCATCTTTAACAGCAATAACTTGAAGTAATTGTTTTCTGTGTGATTTTTCTCAGTCTCTCACATTGTTGCAGGGGTTTTTCTTTATAGAAATGCTTCAGTTCATTGAGATTTTGCAGGCAGTCGTTTATCCTCCTACATTTCAGTTGTGCTGAGGTCTCGACCTTGACTAGGCTATTGCAACCCTTTGTTGCAGACTTGCTGCTGTGTTTGGGATCATTGGTCTGCTTTACCCACTTTAGCTGTCAGTTTTGATGCATGCTCAATCATCCAGGTAATTAAACCCCAAAAAGTTGATTCTGTTCATCTGGACGTAGCGTTTTCAGCGGGAGAAATGTTTCAGCACTCATCCAAGTGACTTCTTCAGTCTCAGCTGACTGCAGGTTTACCAACCTTATAAGCAGTACATTTGCACAATGACTGAACCTAGCACAACTGATGAACAATGTGCTGTGAGGTCAGTTCCTTGATATGCAAATTGTCATGACCATTGATCAGCAACCACTGGTGAAAGACCATCAATCAATGGCCATGAGTACCATTCACAGAGAGCTGGGGAATGGCTGCAATCACAGCATTGTAAGATGGTGACAGATGTACCCTTAGGCGCTAAACCCCCCTAATTTGGGGTTTGAAAGCCACAGAGACGCAGTGTTGAGAGAAAATGCATCTAAATGGTTCTGATACTCCTGACACATTTGGGACCACTAAGGGTTTTTTCTTAGGCAGCAGTTGTCACTTGGATGAATGATGAAACATTTCTCCCACTGAAAATGCTACATCCAGATGAACAGAATCAGCTTTTTGGGATTCAACTGTCAGAGTGATGGCCTCACTTTTGACTGTAGAATACTTATAAAAGCATGTACAGTATACAGAGCAGTTCATGGTCGACTCAGTGACTACAAGAGGCCCAAATCCTGTGGCTGAAAAAGAAGCCCACATCATCATACCTGCATCACTGTGCTTGACAGTCAGCATGTGCTTCAGTTTCTACCCAATATGACGCTCTGCATTTTGACCAGATATCTGCACTATGATCTTGTTTGTCCAAAGGCCATTCCTCCAGATGTCTTGTGGTTTCCTCAGATTCAACCTAAACTGTTCGACTATATCCCGTTTTAGAGAGAAGATGCTTTCTTTGACAATCCTTACAAACAGGCCATATCCCTTTAGTCTTTTTCTAATTGCACTGTCTTGTATTTTAACATTTAACTTGCTAACTGAGGCTTGTAAAGTCTGAGATATAGCTCTTGGGTTTTTCAAAATTTCTGACCTTGGGTTGAATTTGCAGGTAAGATTGGCAACTGCCTTGAATGTTTTTCACTTATAAATAACATTTCTTACTGTAGAATGATGGACAATTTGATGGGCATTCAAATTGTTTTGAAATCACTTTATAACCCTTTTTCAGATTGATGGGCAACAACAATTGCTTTTTTGATGTCAGTAACACTCAGCTGAATGCTTCAGAGCAGCAAACTGCCAAAACCTCTCCTTTTATAGAGGTGCTCACACTGGCTGATGATCTGTTAATCAAGTTGCATTTTATTAACACCAGCTGGCTGCTGCCCTTTAATTCCTGTGGAAGCAGTAAGGGTGTGTTTTGTCCTAGTATTTGTTAAATAATTAATGAATTTGTGTAATATTTCATGTGTTGTTGTTCTCCTGGGTTTTTATTTACCAGATTTTAAGACCTGTTAAGGACCCAAACATTTCTATTATATTCTAATTCATAAAATATTTGAGTTTTAAAGGGTATTGTTTCCTTTTATGTGACTGTATGTTTAAAGAATATAGACTGATCATTTAGTTGATGGTAATTCAAGTCTGAGGGGGAACTCAGGTCTGTCACCTTTTCTTGGCTCTATTTTAGGCTTCAGATAATCTAGCCCATGACATGGGTCTTAAGCCTTTTTAGACAGGATCAGGTGAGTAGCTTAAAGAGCAAGTAAGAGTGGTCTCAGTGGCCTTTTGGGTTGAGAAGAGGGCCTTTTACCCAGGAGTGCCAGGTCTGAATCTGTAGACTGCATCAAAAAGATGATGTGTAGTTTCAAATAACTGGGAAGGCCAAATTGCTCAGCTAGAGGTTTCACAAACCAGTGGATGATGTCCCATTGGCTACAACTGTCTTTTATATAAAGGTGTGGAAGGGTTTTGCTTCAGGTTATATGTGTTTGATGGGAGTTGCAGAGAACAGAGAAGTGAAAACAAGAGAAAGACTGTTAACCTTGAATTTCTTGTTTTTATGCTATTTCTGTTTTGCGTACTTTGAGCCTTTACATGAGATATGCAAAAGATATGCGTGTTCTCAGTTACACTCTTTGTCTTTTATCCAAGGTTTCTTGATGGTAAACTTTTGGACATCAATAAAGAGTTTCAGCCCTTTCTCCCTCCTGGTGGCCGGATTTTGGAAATCCGAACTCCTGAAGTGGTTACCAGTGTAAAGAAAGCTGTGCAGACTGTAGGCTACACAGAGGGGGCGCTGTTGGCTCTGGCTGTCATTATCATTATCTGTTGTGTACCCGCCATACTGATTGTCATAATCACCTACAAACAGTAAGTACGATTTATATATTCTACAGATGCTTTATGTGATGAGATTGTGTTTAAAGAATAAGGCTGATAATACTCTGCATATTTCCTATTGTCAACAAATGAATGACAGACCAAAATTTACCAAAAGCAAACTAGTCCCGCAAATAGTTAAATAAGTAGCCAAAGCTATTAAAATCGAGCTCATTACTTCCCTTTGTGGCTCAAAAAACATTGAAAATCTGTAATATGGGCATGCTGCACTAAGTGACCGTGTTCCTTCATTATAATCAACCTGAGCACTGTTGTTCATTTTGAGTCAATGTGCCCCTGGCATATTGAGCCACAGCTAAAAGTGCTCCAAACCAGATGCATCATTAATTTAATGCTTGGATAACATTTGATATAAACAAAAACATCCGTCCACTTTAGAAAATAACTGAGTGTTTTTTTTTAAATACATTCAGAGTATTTTTTTTATTTATTAGGAACAAACTGTTTTACAGCTAAAAAAGCTGTTTGGGCAGGAAGGTCGTATGAAGAACCACCTTATCCATGTTTTTATTGTTAGTTTTGGGG